AATCTGAAATTCTCTTATTCTTGGAATGTCTATCTTTCCAGTTCAACTAGAAGAATGAAATACAGTCTATTTTTCTTGCTCCAAGAGGGCCAGAGTCAGCTTTTTGGTACTGTAAATTGATGTGTCTTGTGGATATATCACCTGACAGCAGGATGAAAAAGATAAATTTAACTCTGTTGTTTCTGTTAAGTCTTCCTGAGATTATGTTAAACTATAAGTATTTAGGCATACTGCAGTTGCCAGATTAGATCAGATTGAGCTGTGGTCTGTTTTGAGAATGTCAAGGCACTGTACAAGATCCACATCCAAAAAGTAACAACCAGACTTTTTATGAAAGTTTCTGTTGGAAGAAGAGAGGAATTCCTCTCAGAAGTGCACAGTTTAAGTAGAACGGTATCTGCACATGCTCCTCTACGCATGCACGGTCACAGTCACTACAGGAGACTCGCCCTGGCATCTCTCCTGGCCCCCTACGCACAAGTGTTTCACAGCCAGCCTCCGATGATCTACCACCCTTCCAGTGTAGGAGGGGTGGGAGTCATCTCAAGTATCATAAGGTATCTGCAGTGTAGACACAAATGCTTGAGCTGATCATCCAGGCTTTTTCTGGTCTAACTTAGTCAAAAAGCACTCTAGAAAAAGTTTCACCTGGCCTGTAGGTGTCTCCTTCTGCAGAGGATAGCAACACCTATTCTCTGTATGTTGACTCTACGGGCAACCATGACAACTAGTCAGGTCAATAAGCCCATGTTGTAAAGGGCTAACGCCAAGCATATAGTTAGTAAGGAGACTCCCCATGGAGCACATAGCTGGCTCCTGAGCTCTATAAAACACTTTTTAGGCTCTGCAAAAGGCTCTTTACCTGCCTGTGTCCCTTGGCAAAAGTCCCTTGTTCATTTACATTTTAGAGTCCAGAGCTTAAGCTGGGGCCTTCTAGGAACACAGGACAGTCCTTCGAGCAATGAGTCTCAGTGTGCACGCTGGGTGTGGAGCTAGGACACAAGTCCCCAACAGAAATGTTTCCTAATCGTGTCATTCACAGGAAGATGAAATACATGCAGTCTTTGCAAATGACCTAAACTCTCAACTTCACTTCAAGAGCTCTCCTAGAGCTCTGCTAACTCTCTTCGGGCCATTGACTTCTCAGTTTACATCCACTGGTACGTATTTCCCCCTAAGCTACCAAAACACAATGAAACCTGAAAAAGCAAAATTTTGCATTTCCAAAATTTCCTGACAGAGGGGTAGCATCCTGTAAACTTTTGTTAGTGACACAGACAGTTGATCTGAGGGGGTAGGTGCTTGCTGCCTTTGTAGACTTCCCACTCCACCAGATGAGGATGCAGCATACTCTTTGTTTCCCAAAAAGCAAGGTAAAAAATCATCTATCACACATAACAAGGAACAGGAGGGAAGGGTGCTCAATGGATAGATTTAGCTCCTGAGGCCTCAGAACCAGTAGATTGAAGGAGTTGGTAAACTGGGCAGTGTATAACAGCTCTAAAGATTCTGTCTCTGCTGTCATGGTGTGACTGAGCTCTGTATAGCAGCATGAGTGTCGGTTAGCGACAGAATGGTTGTTAGCATTAGAAAATCACCTGGCATCCACATGGGCTTTTTGCTTGATGAGTAATCTGGCCAGGATGCTAACTTAGCATGTTTATAAATGGAAAGTAAACAGGAAAGCTTTACAGCACATCTCTTTAGGTAATGACCACGGTTTAGATATTCCTATGTCATCTTCAGCTGTGAAACACGCTTTCCTGGCCAGCCTACCCTAGATGCATACTTCAGACTAATTTCCTTCTACATGCAGTAGAGTATTTTTACATTCTATTTTGCAGGCACTTTGGCAAGAGTGAGGGCTCCTTTAGCCTATACTTTAACTTGCAGTGTGATTCAGGCAGTGAGTGTCTACACTGGGCCACGGTGTGACATTCACAGCAAGTATTTGTTCCTTCAGAACAATTTACAAGCTCAGACAAAAAAAAAGCCTACTTTGTGTGCTACAGTGAGGTTAAATGTGTGTGCATTAACAAGATGCACTACTCCATGAAGGCACTCATGTCCAAACATTACACACTTTTATCTGCCGATGTCAACAGAGATTCAGGACAAAAACCATCGGCTGGCCCCATCTACGAATCTCATCCTTGTGAAATGCCAACAGTTCATCAACAACTGGAATCCCAGTGTTCATATACCTGTGATATTGTCATAACTCCTGAAATTCATTTCAATGTGATCCCACTCCAGCACCATGCAGTTCTCCATGCTGGGCTGTGCAATGGCTACGAACACATCATTCTTTGAGTTGAACGTATCCACTGAAACTGACTGATAGGGCAAAATCTGGTGAACAACAAAATCTAGAAACATACATTTACAACAATTAGGATACATTCTTCCTGGAAACACAGAGTAAGTGGTTGCTGATTATAACAATTAACACTGAAAAATGAGTTAAATACTCTGGGTTTTGTATAACACTAGCGTGGAAGTGTCAGTGCTCACGTTAGGCATGCAGCAACAGGGGAAAGCTTTTCCTGCTTTAGTCTTCATAAACTGTCCTCTGGAAATATAGTTGCCAAGGAGATCAAATAGGGAAATAGTGGCGGAAATCAGATTTTCCAGCTAGGCTGGCTGGTATCAATGAAATCAGGGTATCGAGAGAGAAGTCTCTTTCCCCACAGCTGGAAGTTGCTTTCCCGTCAAGTGAAATGGCCTTGCTAGAATCACTTTCAAGCTGAGAGACAGCAACTTCCAGCTGAAGTCAAATAACTCCTTAAGTCATGCAAATTTAATCACTAGCAATTTGTGTTATGCTAAACCAGGCAGAAAGTGAAATGATAATCTGAAGTTTGCCTGGGGATAGCCCCGTTTCGGCTAGACCATAGACAAAATGGTGTAATCAAAAACTTGGTTAACATAACGTTTTATGGGGCACTGTAAAGTAGTTTAGGCATAAAATACAACCAACCTGCAAATTACTGTCCAGTGGAAAACTTATTCTAGATACTAAGACCGAGGAGTTGGAGCAACCTGTAAAGACTAAGAGTGTAACTGCAAAATCCAAGATTTCTTCTCAAAATCCAAGTGCCTTTGTAGATTTAACTCTCAAATTCACCCCGGGCCAAGACAGCAGTCAGCATAGAGCCAACCTGGGGCAAAGCGAGGAGACTTGGGTCTGAATTTGATCTTTGGCCTGACAGCTGGGCAAGGTCATTATTACCAGAAAAAGAAACCAGTAGAGCAGAGCTGACAAAGAAAAGCCAGCACTTGGGCCTAGAATGTGGCAGAAGGCCTGTGCTGAAGTGATGTATGGATATAGATCTATGGAAAAGGAAATGCATCTTCCACTACAATGGAGTTTCTCTGCAGAACCACACACCGCTCTGTTTCAAGCTCCATTTGCTAGATGCTTTCACCACGCACTCCTACGTTGGAAGGGCCTGAGCATTCAGGGATTTTGGTGAAATGGTAATTAAGTCCTCACTCGAATCCCTCATTTTGGTGCATTATGAAATAATTGGTTTTGAATGAAGAACTCTCTGTCTCTGCATGCTTGAAAGCCTTGCCCTTGAGGAGTTACACTTCTGGAGAATAAAGATAGATGACTACCATTAAACAAACAGAGCAGATTCTACAGCTGCAAAAGAAATGACAGTCCCCATTCTTTGAGGGACTATTATAAATAGAGTTTGGGCTTGATTCATAAATGCTGGTAGGAAAACAAGAAAGTTATCTTCATTCTCACTGGGAAAATAAAAGGACTGGAGAAAACTGACACTGACATATGCAGAAAGTAAAAGTAAGTGATAAATCATCAAAGGTAGCTAAGGATGGAACAATAGCAGATACAGTCACAGAAAATCAAAACATTTTTTAAATCTTCAGAAAAAAAAAAACCCAAAAACTAATGCTGAAAAAAGACACCTGTTGAAATCTGAACAGTTGTGAAACACTTTGAGGGAATCTGTGAATTAAAACAAACCAGTCTGTGTGTTAGAACCCACTGCTCATTCAGAAATGATTCAGTGTTAACGCAGCTATTTTTACTTGTACCTGTCATTGGGCTCTTTATGTCACTCGATGAGTAAAAATGGGTAACAAAATCAGTCGTAATCAATAAAAAGCAATAAACGTTTTTAGCACCAGTTGGAAATATCAGACTCTAACATGGAACAGGGTTACACAGTAAAGAGATGCTGCCACATCAGGCTTGCTAAAAATGTAGGTCTTAGGGGCTTGATTTAGTTTTACAGGCAGGTCCACATGCCTTGCTTTAATGCTAGAAAGAGACCATACAGTAAATACAGAGTTGGAGGGGGATGTTTCCCAACATTTTTCTCTTTTAAGCTGGATCAGCCTGCATGGGAGAGGGAAGAGGATGGCGGCCCTCGCTTCCCCCCCGTGCTGCTGGCTGCACGGGCTGTCGCTGTCTCCCTCTCACCCCCGTGCCCCCCGATACTCTCTCTGGCTCAAGACACATGGTTTTGACACTGCGTTCTGCCGGCTGAGGGCTGGGGTGGTTCCCCCCATTCCCCAGCCACCTGCTCTGCCTCCATTCCTTTGGCTGTTGAATAGCACACGCCGTCACGGATGAGGGGCCCAACGCTCTTGTTGTTGGGCCGATTTCCCTCCTGGCAGCCTCTGCGCTGGCTGATCCCAGCACGCAGGAGCGCTGATGCTGGCAGAGCAGAGAGGAATCGCGCAGAGAACGCTGGAGGACGCTGAAGAGAAAGGGGAGCGATGACCTGTTCGGGCAGCAGCTCCTAAACTGTATCCCGCGACTCGGCCACCAGTTGTTCCCCTCTCCTCACGGCCCTTCTTCTCCATGGTGGAGACTTCTGCTCTAGGTGAGGCTACTCAGGACCTGGGGTGCTCTCAGGGAGTGTCAGCCATCCCTTCCTGTGTCCCACCATGGTGGCATGGGTGACCTCCAGCACAGGAGCGAGTACAGAGCAGGTAACTCTTAATTTGCAAACCACTTTCCTTCCAACCAGCGGGGAAAGAGAAGGACACCTCCAGAAGACAGTCCCAGCTAGGCAAAGAAAGGGGAAACCGAGCTTTCAAAGCTCAGCGAGATGATCCCTGCCAGCAGGTCTGGGCAAAGCCTGTCCCAGGCACGCGCACAGCCCGTTTCCAGTGACTGTGGGAGTGCGAGGCCCATTTTCCAGTCTCCTGAAAGTAAGTACATGTTCCCCTGCCGTGCTTACAGCCACAGCACAGCCCCCTCACATACTGTTGCGGGAGAAAGACAAGAAACGAAGTGAAATGGCTTAACCTGCTTCTATGATGCAAGCCATGAGAAATGGAAAAAAGAGATGCTATCACGAAAAGAATTAAAAGTGCAGATCACTGACACTGTGGACCACTTTCTCTGTGAATAAGTGATAGAAGCATTTTGTTCTTTGGCTTTTTATTCAATATGGCAGCACCTCTTTACATCTCTCCTCCCATTACCATTGTAGCAGGTCAGAGGACACAATGAACTGGTGGAACCACTGAGATGCATGTTTTACCAAGCAAACTGCTTTGTTACCACATCCTGCGTCCAGTCATGCTCGACACAGAGTACCAGAAAGTGGAAGTGATGCAGACTCTGATCACACCTGGCAAAGGAGGGAAAGACAATACTAAAGACTAACATGAATGGAAGAGGTTTGCAGAGCGTTGCCCGTCACTGAGTGGGAAAGGAGAATACACCTACAGGGTATGGTGCTTTACTTCAAAATGTGGTACAAGCCTGAGCCTGTGACTAACTACTCCTCAAGGAATGAATACGGGCATGTTTATGCTCCCTTTGGATCTGGGGGAGGCAATGGCAGAGAAGGAAAAAGCAGCTGTGGCCTGACACCGCAGACCACCAAGGCCACCGGAGGGTTACAGCTCGAGCAATGTAACTTCCACTTCAGTGCAGGGGACATGATGCTGTCTCAGAGGTGACACATTCCTGAAGATTTGCATTTCTATTCTACTTATCTCTGTTTTGTCTCTTACGGGTCATTTCTGCATGCAGTCTGTCCCTCTCGGACACTCTGTAAGGATGCCAGGGCTCCACGTCTTCTGCACCCTCCACCTTCCCTACGCGCTGGAGCTCCGAGAAGCCTGCTGCTGCCTACCCCCAGGCCCGCCGGGTTAGGCACAGAGCCTTCCCTCACAGCAGCCAGAGGATGGCTGGTTTGAAAACGTCCTTTACCACCTGAAGAGGGTATTACAGCTATGTGCTGTGCTGCGAGAGCACTTCTCTGATGGCATTTGAACAAATATTCAGCTGGGCAATCCTTGCACCTCATAATGCCTCAGCTCCCCCGCAAACTCTGCGGCATGTGAAATTAGATGCTTGGTGTAATTTCGCTTACAGCAGACAAAGGGACTAACATTAAGGGTGAATTTTGCCTGTAGGAACTTTATAGTTGGGTTTCTAGGTACAACGAGATGACAGAGGGCAGGTTGGTCAGTATAGGTCTGAGGACCAGGTAGGTAAGACTTGTTCTTGCACACTGTTAGTGCTGTGCAATTGCTCAAACCAGATTGAAATGAAATAAAGCCTGCTTTCACTTTGTACTTTTGCATCTCAGCGATTTGGCAGACACAGGAACGTAACTTTGGTACCGTTCTAAGCTACATTGCTCTCCTGGTTTTGACATCCTTTTATGTAGCAGATAATCATGCTTTACCTCTGCTGCTCTTCTGACATATTCTTGAATTCTGAGTTCCTTCTCTTTTCCTTTACATACTGCCCTTGGATTACCTTTCATACCTTGTGCTGAAACTTTATTTTACATTACTAGTAATCAACTTTTCTATTGTCTCTTAATGGTGATGACTGCCTTGATGACAGGTGAGAGCTCGAATGCCTCTGATATTGCTGTACAGAAAAAAGGCAGAGTGCTGACATCGTATACATGAAAGATGAAAAACAATACTCGCAGCTGATATTCTCAGTTATATGATGTGACTACATTTAAAGATAGGTAACTGCAGCTGTTCGGTCATAAAATATAAGCATAACCACATGCAAGTTTCTCTTCACTTCCTTCAGCATGCTTTACATTCCCTGAAATAAAAATCAAGATCCTAAACAAGACAGTAGTCAGAATATTATTGGACATTTTTCTCCAACTTAATGGAGTTCCATGAAGAACTGCTGGCAGTATTGCCGCCACATTTGATGCTATTAAACTGTGGCCTATTGAATAAAGATAACAGATATAGCCACATTATTTGAATTTCTTTTCATTGCTTTCTGTGAAATACAGAGATTTTGGGAAGCTCATCTGCCATAACTATATGGCCTTATTCCAGATAATAGAAAGCATTCTGTGATGAAAATTAAGTCACAAAGTGAGTCATAATCAAGTCTTTTGGAATATGAATACTCAGAGCTCCTCTCCCATTATCACTTAATCCAAATAAAAACTCGCTACTTACTTTGGCTTCGAAATGTAATTTTCCCATTTTATGCTTGCTCTAGTACTCGAGAGTGCTTTGTATGTAACCCTTTCCTCCCCCCAGGTCATGCTCACAGAAGCAAAAGGGTATAGTCTAAACTTCTGATATTTAACCATTTGTAGTGTGCTTAGAAATATACATTCTGAATACCTGTAGTGGTGCATTCATAATCAAAACTTGTCACATCATTTAACTTCTTATCCTGATATTCTGCTGGACCAATACACAGGACATCAGAAACAGTGGAATTTGTCATCTTTAACCACAAAAACAACCACTTGGCTTTGCAGTCACACTCAAATTTATTTCCCCTTAAATCTCTAAAAAAACACACAGAAATAAACATATTTGAAAAGGTTGATAGCAATATGAATACTACAGAACTGTTATCACCTTGACATGCTGAATTCAAAAATATCTGAGTAGCCTTGAATTGGTTTTTAACTGAGAACAGGGAAGTTTCTTAAGTTTTGTTCAGACTCTCTTACTATGGACTCTCCTTCACTGAGTGTTGTCCTTGAAAAAGTTTCAATTTAGAAAATATGCCCACGTATAATCTGACTAATAGAGCACCGTGATTCACACGTGAAGTCACTCACGTTTGTAAGTTTTCATAGGATTAGGACTATGACGTAACAAATCCTGACAGTGTGGTTGTCTGCTGCAAGCCTCCATCCCACCATCTACCGCTGACACAGATGAATCCCATTCCTTCGCTAAACTACTCCAGTAGCGCTGGTTGACGGAGTGGCCTTGCTGGCACCACTTCTGTGTTACATTAAAATACAGATGTAAGGCTTGTATTTTTAGAGTCACTGCTGATGTGGACTCAATTTAACCTCCCCCTACTAATGTATGTGCAATTTCAACACTGTACCTGTTCTTCGATCCCCTGGCAATTTTTGTGGCTTACAATTATACTTTGCTATTTGGGAGAGCCAGGCCAAAAATAGGGGAAGCTGACTAGCAGCTCAGTTATACAAGAAAACACTGACAGTAAGCCAGCAATGTGCTACAGCTGCACAAAAACAAGAAAAAAAGCATTTTTTTTTAAATTAATGCCTTTTACTAAAATAATCTCAAGGAATACATGCAACGATAACAGGAAAAAATGTTCAGAGACATTTAAAATTCATTGTCTCCCTAAAAAAAGCAATTTATATGAAACATCAGAAAGAAGTACAGCAATGCAAGCTATGTACGAGAAGCAACAGTGGTTTGAGAAATAGCAGTTATTTTAGAGGAGTCTACCAAGTAAACAATTTTAAAATGAGAAAAGCTAGAACAACAAAATGCACATTTCTTTTCTGTGCAGGTATCAGAAACAGCACCACACAAACCCAGAACATAAAACTCAGAGTAACAGAGTGACAGAAGCAGGCACTCAATAGAAAAATCCTCATTACTTACAGTTCAATTAAAGAATCTAAGTCACTGAAGACATCCCTGGGCAGAGCTTTGAGATGGTTATTGGCCAAAGAACTAGAAAAGAAAGTTAGAGCTTAGTATCATTGCTATCTCTTATCTGGCTGACTCTTACTAAGCCTGAGCTCACTTCCAGGTTGTTAATTAACTGGTACTGTCCAGCCACTGGCGCTGTTAATAGTTACGAGGAACAGGCACATATTAATTATTCTCATTCAAGAATGGAGATTGCTGGAAGCTCATGTAAAAGTAAAATATATAAAGCTTTTTATTGCCCAGGTGCAAACGTAACGCGCAGAGCAGTCACTGAGCATACTGAAAAGAAAGGGGAATGGGAATCACGAGTCGGTAGTGTCCGGCATCCACCGGTCCCGGCCGCACGCCAGCACGAGCTGCGAGTGTGCGCAGGCAGCCAAACATGCCACAGTGCTGCCCAAGCAGGAATTTTTTAAAGGCCATTTTTCAATTTGTGGAAGGCACGTTACTGACAGCGGGAGGAAGCTGATGCACGGAGGGGAAGGGAAACTTTCTATGTGGCAGGAAAACCAGCGGTCCCCCAGAAGAGTTTTGTTCAAGTGCACATTACTCTATGAAGTGTTAAATAACTTACAGGTGAGTCAGATCTCGAAGGCCACGAAATGCGTTTCTTGAAATGGTTTCAATTTTGTTTCCTTCAATGAATCTAGGCAAAAAAAAAAAAAAAAGAAGTATTTTAACAGACTTTAATTAACAGCATTATCGTCACTGGTGCTTTAAGCTACGGTCTCCAAATTCAGCAGGTTCCTGGGCAGCCCCATCAGACCTAAAGGCGGGGAAGTCTCAGTGGAGCTGTTCACGTTCCTTTTTTCCCTTTCCTCGGGCGGACTGCAAGGAACGATGCAGGTACCGGGCACGTGACACAAACATCCAGCAGAAGAGGAACAAAATGAACAAAGCAAAAAACATTATTCCTCTGCTGGTTAATCCTCTCAGGGTGTGTTGCGTGAGGCAAGAGACCCGTGTAGGAGGGGCTTCTGAGATGGACTTTAGAAGCTCAAGTCCTACCTTCCTCTCACAAATCACCTGCATTTTACAACCACGGGGCAGCACAGCGGTGCCAGGGCTGCCCAGGCTGCAGACGCACACTCTGCCGGGGAGCTCCCGTGGCTGCACGCACAGGGCCACCGCCGCACCCGCAGAGCCGCGGTGTGAACTGCAGGCGTCTGAAGTCTGCATAAATGGTAAGACCGCTGCCTTATTTTTCTTCTGGCTGCCACAGTTCAGGTCTCTCCCACCAGGATGCCACCTCTGCAGGGTGCCCGGCTGCACGCAAGTCACGGCCCTGTGCACTGGGGGAATAACGACAGGCACGTATCGATTCCAGGAGCATGCTGCTCCTCCTGACTGCACGTCAGCATTTAAAGAAAGAGCTGATATTTGAGCATCTTGACCCCCGAGCGCTTGAGGACACATCCCTAAATACACCATCAACCCTGCAAAGCGATTGCAGCCAGGTGGCCATCAAGATATTGCATGGTACAGCTGTACCTGGATGAAGACAACTGCATGCTGACTTTATAAAAGGTTTTATGAGATAAAAGCGTCTCCCTTCCTCCTACGCATCCTTGCTTGCCTTCCAGGGAAATAGAGGAAAAATGCTATGAGCCAAGGTCTCTTCTCAAGAGAGTCAAGATGGGGATGCAGGAGATGACAAGCGCTCTGGGTTCTGCAGTTCAGATGTAGCCAAAATCCTTCACAAAGTGACCAGCACCCTGACTGCACACACAAGGTGTGGATGAGAAAGTGTTGTGTCTTTGTGGAAGATGCCAGCAATAGTGTCAGCCGTTACAAGGCTGCCTGGGGACACGAATTCAATCTGCAGAGCAGAGAGCCCAGCTGCCTCCTGACACCCTCACCGGCACCTGGCACCGCCGCACAGCGCCAGCTCACCGGGCCGTGCACATAAACACCGCTCCAGTGAACACACTGCAGCGAGGTGAGGGACATTTGGGCTGGGACGCAGTAATTTGCCGGATTCCTGAGTCACCAAACCTGGCCTCGAAGGGATGCTACCCTGGGAACGCCACTCTGATCACCAGCAAAGCTCCCATCTTTATCAGACCTGGCGTATCCAGACTCTGTACACGGAGCCAGTTAATTTAAGGGTGCACTGAATGCCACTATCAGTGCTGCAAGTGCAGCAGGACACAGCTTGAGATATATATTTAAACAGAGATATATATACAGGTATCTGGTGTGGGTGCTCCCCAGCTGCTCTTCATCCAGAGATTTTGCTTTGTACACAAAAAAACCTTGTCATTCTTGTTTGTCAGCAGGGTTTTCCTATTCTCTGTAAGGTCTGATCGCTGGTAACTGAGAGACGTGACTTATTGAAGCTCTAATGGTGTTACTGGCTGCGTGGCCAAAAACAACCCCAGAGAAAGGCCCCTCACACCCAGTTCCCCCCAGACGGCAGAGGTGTGATTTGCTGGGAGGAAGAAGAGCTCTGCGCACTTGGCCGGGAGGGCGACCACAACCATTACCTGAGACCGCTTGTTCAGCTGCGACTGAAGGGAACTGAGACTGTATGTAAGGCTTTACCAGTCTTCACTCTGCTCCCTGGTTTGCAACTGGCAACCAGGGGCAGAGGTTCTCCTTCTGACCAGCTGAGGAGGGGCAGGATTTTTTTCTTTCAGACAGGGGGTCTGGCTGCAGCTACCGACGCGACCGCTACAACTGCGTATGCTGCTGGGACACAACTGCGTATGCTGCTGGGACACGCTCCGTGTTAGACTCACTGGCACTTGAAAGCAAGTCATTAATGAAACAACGTACAAAAGTGTTTCTTCCTTTTTGCAAACATTCTGCAAATTACTTTTTTTCCTGTAGACACATGGAAAAGAGAACGATTAGATAACTCGCTATTGCTGAAACATCCAGACGTAGCTGAATCGTGGATTTCAGCATACACCATTTACCATTATCCTCTATTTCTTGGTCTGCAAATTCCATTGTTGGCTTCTCCGCAGGTATCAGACTATTAGTGCTGAATATACCCCGCCTTAATACCTACTTGCCTGCAAGACTTTAGCAAGAGTCAGTTTTATGAGCATTGGTCTTCCTTTAGAGAAAGACAGAAATGTCTTCCACAGCTAGTTCTCAGCACAGGAAGGTGGGTGGAAAGAGTAATTTTTTTTGCAGGTCATATTCAGAGTTTCAAACATACCAGCTCATGTCCGGTAACCCAGAGAAATGGCAGTCCTTTGGAGTATGAAGTGAGGACAACCTGGTACCAGGGCTACTACTTTTTTTAAAAGAAAAAAGGGTGACCTAAAAAAAAAAAAAAAATCGGGAAATGAAGGTAATGTAAAAATCAATGAAGAAGTGAACTAAGTAAAGAAAAGGAAAGTTAAATAAATTTAAATAATAATATGAATAATGGCAATAATTTATATTATATGAAATATATGTATATA